CGTTTCTGCCCGTTCCTGCCCGTTCCTGTAAATCGTCGAACCCCTTCTGAAGTACACAACCATGAGAAATTGAAATAATTTCAACCATCGGTACTAGATTGATAGCGTAGCCTTGATCATGTGATATTTAGTCTGTCAACAATGGCCGCTTTTTTACTGTGTCGTATATATAATAAACTGGATCGATCGAAACCGAAACCGAAGCATGGACACTAGGTGAAATAACGTACATACTAGTTAGGAAAAATGTAACTTACTTACTTGAAACATGAACAACTAATCCTGGATACACATCTCCAGAGAAACGTGCTTTCACCATTTCTCCCCTTCGATAGACATCCCCGTACTCCTTCTTTGGCTCTATTATCGTGCTGATTGACTGCACCGACCACGATTTTTCCAGGTGCCAGTAGATAAGGACAGATGTAGTCATTTTCGGACAGATCTTCAAGTAGTTAAAGCGAATAAAACTAAATTAAAACGATATAATTAACAGATGAGATTTGTAGCAGCAGCTTGACACCGGTCCAAAACCTTGATATCGCGCGCGTTCGATCCATCCAATCATGTTGCAGATTGGATACTTGACCAACCGAATCCCCTGTACCATAGCCAGCTTCATATTCTTGATCATGCAAACGTTTGTTTTAAACGGTACCAAACCACTGTTTAGTAAGAACTGAAAATACATTGATACGATATGTCGCACATGGGAAATAAAATGGGAGTAGACGTTCAACAATGGAGATGCCGAATAGGATCGTTTCAACAAGACACAAAGAGGAATTCTCAGGAACAGGTGTTACGATCCAGTTTAACGAAACTGCCGAATCCGCATACTCTGTTGACTGTATTGTTTTTGTGTTCGCTTCTCCTTCTAAGCGGTGACATAGAGAGTAACCCAGGCCCTCGTGACGAGATTAACAGTGATCAGTCTAATGAACAAACACGTGCGAGGAAAAGAAAACAATACAATTTATGTCGGTGACGACGATCCATGGCTGTCTATTCCTAGGACATCTAAATGGAGATTGAAACGAAACAAAACCAATGGAAACTCGAACGATGAGCAAACAATCACCTCTCAATGTGCTGATCAAGATGGGGACCATGACGATACTAGAACAACCGAGAAAACACATGCAACACCAATACACAGGTAATTTTCTCGACTATTGTATTAACTATTCGGCAATGTTTTATGCTTTGTCACGATCGATCTCGTGAATAATGACGGACATGTAAAAAGAGGAATTACAAAATTTTGTAGTGCCTAGATTTCCAGTACGAGTCACTGAAATTACTCAAGACTATTTTATCATATTTGTCATTGATTTCTAGATTTACTTTTAAACATTGGATTATTTATTTAAACAGTTTATTTAAATACATTACTCTGATGACAATCTATTAGCTAAATATTTTTGTCTTTAACTGCTAATAGATAGTAATGTGAAACATTTGATGCTAAAAGAGATTGTTAAATTTATGGAACGAGACATTTTCTTTACTATGATAAGATTGGAAAGAGAAGTGAAAGTTTAAAAATATTGCTAGCATAATTAAAACATTGAAACTGCCTTTCTTTCCAGCTCTGCTCTTCCAGATCTTGATCCAGAATCACAGAGTGATCCTGAGTTAGACTTCGAAGTAGAGGACCATATCATTTCTGTCGTTGATCAAGGTGAAGATGTTGATATTACCCATGAAGATGAAAGGTGTGTAGCGTTTGGTATAGAATGAAATGTTTCAAAATTGTCTTTTGTATACATTTTCATTAAGGAAGGGTCTAGCCTCCAAGAAGCCTTCAGTGGCTTAAAATTAACTATCCATTTTAATTACTTTGTGAACCTATATCAGTTTCCAGAGATATACTTTCTATGCCTTTGCACAGATGATAAATATTTTATAACCATTCTAAGGATTTCAAGACTCCTCTTTTTATCTTGAACTTTGTTCAAACTACTTTTTAATGTACTGCACATGCCCATCGGTACCCCTTCTCTTTCGGGCATGTTGCTCAAGTCAATATGATTTAATTTTGCAACGTGAGATTATTGAGATAACTGAAGTGCTCAGTGGTATTTAAAAATGATTCACTGTATCTTTGACTTTGTTAATACAAACATAATTATAAGCTATGTTATACTTAATCCTCATGTCATCAGTCCATTAATCTGTACATGTATCTTTTATGTACATCAACAGGCAATATGGGGAAAGCACAGATGTACCTCAAGAAGAAATTTTGTATGATGCTTCGGAGGAGGAAAATATACCCTTGGACGAAGACTTGGAGCCAGAAGTTGAACATGATGACAATATGCCAATATATGAAGGAGCAACAATCACAACTGGGCAAAGTGCATTGCTAATTCTTTCTCTTGCATTCAGACACTCATTAACTGGAGAATGTATATCAGACATTCTTACTTGTGTGTCATTACATTGTCTAAGGAAGAATTCTATTCACTCATCTTTATACAAATTCCGTAAATACTTTAGTGAACTTAAGACTAATCTAAAACTACATAGCTATTGTCAAAAGTGTGATTATCTTCTAACACAAGACAATAGAATTTGTCCGGTGTGCAGTTCAGAAACAGATGACAGCTCAACATATTTTGTTGAAATCCCCGTTGAGGAGCAAATCAGCGAACTTTTCCGCAGAAAAACTTTTCATGATTTGATTCTTCATAGATTTGAAAGAAAGAAAAAACGTGCAAGCTGTGTAGAAGATATTTATGATGGTGAACTTTACAGGAAATATTCAAGAAAAGAAGCATTTCTTGACAGTAAATACAATATTTCATTGATGTGGTATACAGATGGTGTACCACTGTTCAAATCATCAAAAGTAAGTTTATGGCCTTTGTATTTCTCGATTAACGAGCTTCCATACAAGGAAAGGGTTAAACCAGAAAACTTACTTTTTGCTGGAATGTGGTATGGAAAATTGAAGCCAACGATGTCTACATTTCTGAAACCATTTCATGAAACCATGGACAAATTGAATAAGCATGGCGTGTATGTTGAATGCAATCACTGCAATGAGAAGTTCACTAGTAAAGCTCTAATTCTCTGTGGGACTTGTGATTTACCAGCCAAATGTATGATGTTGAACATGACTCAATTTAATGGTAAATTTGGATGCCCTAGGTGTATGCAACCTGGCAAAGTTGTTCCAACAGGAAAGGGACATACACGTGTCTTTCCATTTGATGAAGAAAATGTTGATGGACCTTGCCGGACTCGTGAGAACTTCATACAACATGGAGAACAAGCCTTTGAGACTAATTCAATAACATACGGTGTAAAAGGACCATCTTGGTTAACTGCCATTTCTGCTGATGCAATTCAGGGTACCTCCATAGATTATATGCATACAGTGTTGCTTGGATTAATTCGCAGGCTTCTAACTTTGTGGTTTGATTCAAAGTTTTCATCAAGGGCCTTTTCTGTGTCGAAACTTGTGCATAAAACAGATAGACGACTTGCTACTATCAAGCCTCCTCACTTTGTAACGCGCCTTCCTAAGAGTATACTGGAACATTCCCAATATTGGAAAGCGTCGGAGTGCAGATCCTGGTTGTTTTACTACTCTGTACCTGTGTTGTTTGGAATCCTAGACCCAGTTTACTTCCATCATTATCTGCTTTTCTATGAAGCAATGTACTTGTTGAATTTAGACTCAATTTCACAGGGTGACCTTCAACACTGTGATGAACTGATAATAACATTTTGTTGTCAGTTCAGTGCTCTATATGGGAAAGAACATATGTCAGCCAATTTACACCAGTTGTTACATATATCTGATGCTGTCACATCATTGATGCGGATGTTAAGTGAAAGTATGGAAAATGATCTGGAGAGTCCAGCTGGGCAGCTTTATCAGAAACTTACTAGTAAGAAACGTCAACATGGAAAAGTTTCTGAAGTTATAGCAGAAGGTGTATTTGTTATTGGAAGTTTACACAGACAGAACATCATGGGAATATATGCCACTGCAATTATGGAGTTTTTTGGTAAAGCTGTGTCGGATACATTCGTTTTTTATCGACTGTTGTTGAATGGATGCATGTACTTTTCATCTCATTATAGTCACAAAACGAAATTCTTTTACTGTTAAATATATGGACAATAGAAAAGAAGAGAAATTTGGTCAAGTTATGTTCTTTGCAAAGTGCTACCTTGTTTGTAGCTGTGTAGAGAAGTGTGATTGTTATCCAGAATATTTGGCAGTAGTAAGACAAATTCTAACTGATGAGCAAAATGTACTTAGAGTACAGACAGAAAGAAATGATGTTAGGCAATCCATGATCACAGCAAAAACTTGAGACACCTTAAATCTGGAATTTTAACTTACAATCATGTAGCAGTGCCGGTAACAAGTCTACTGGATTTATGTGTATTTGTGAACCAAGATGTCAATGAAACCAACAGAGTGTTTATTACATCTCGTCCAAATATTCAAGAGTGTGATTGATTTTTAGAATTGTAGTTCCTGGACAGAATGTTGAATTATTTCAACTTGTTTAAGTTATAACATATGTATGCATGATCTAACTTTGATCTAGCTCATGAATTTTTCGTCAGATTTTTAATTGGCCTTGGTGATTATAGGTATATATAGCGGTCAGTGCATGTTTACCTAGGAACTTGATCCATGTCTATAGATATCGCCTTAGTAATCCTAGATAATCTGCACATAAAGGAATTTGTGTACCATCATGGTCATTACGTAATCTCAAGTAAATTTTGTCTTTAATAAAATATATTGATGTACATGTGACAATGATAACATTCAATCAATATAATTAATCTTGAAAAATAAATGGAATAAATTCAACATAATCAAATTTTCTTTATATATATTAGCCTCATACTTAATTTTGTACAATTTGATACCTCATATATTGAGGTAGTCAATGGCTTACAACTGACTGAACATATTCAACTTGTAAATTGTCAGTTGGGCACTGCATGCATGGACTTAGAAAAAAAATGGATCCGAGTTGCAAACTTATTTTAGCTCGCAGTTAGCGTGTTGACAAATTATGTGACTGCTTGCAGTGTTCATAAAATTCAACTAGCATGCCACAAGCTCGCAGAAAATATTTCAAGCACACCACTAGCTTGTAGATAAATTGACTAGCGTACCGCAAGCGCGCAAAGAAAATTCCCTTGCTTGCAGGTTGATCGCGAAAAACCTTACAAGCTAGTACTACCTTTCTGCGAGCTTACAACATGCTTATTTTGTGTATAATCGCTTACTACTAGCAAGTCACTAGCTTGTCGCGAGCTAGTTACTACCATGCATTTCTGTTTGGGTTGAAACTCACAAGTTGATTTGGAAATATGACAACTTAATATTTA